TATAAGTGAAAATGGGTGAGGGGCTAGAGAATCTCAGAATGAAAGCCTGTTTAATAGAGTTGTGTATATTCTGCAAGAAGCTGATAGTATTATTATTATTTATATTAAAGTAGCATCTAGAGACCCCAACAGAAATTGGAGTCCCATTGTGCTAGGCACTGTATAAACACGGTGTACGACAGTTCTTGAATAGCCAAAAAGCCATTAAATGGGCAATAGCACAATAAGTCAAGGGACACATGCCAACTTGAGTTTGTGGCTAAAAGTAGAGTACCTAAATCCAAGGTAGGGCACTTTTAAATAAGTGGCTTGATTTTCAGAAGACTAACAATTTGTCTTGATATTTGACCTAAACTGTTAGAGGTTGAACTGCACAGCAAATACTGAGTTAAACGGAGGTTTCTGTGCAGCATGAACCTGTTAATAAGTCTGTGGGTGGTATTCAGCATAAGTCATTTAAACTTACCTATTAAAATATTTACCTTTTAAAATAATTCAGAGGGTGCTTCCTGAATGGCTGAAAACATCCCCAAATCCATTATCAATAGTGCTACAGGTCTCAGTACAATTGATGAAATCCATGGCACTCATGAAGTTATAGAATTATGCATTCTGGGATATCATCAGTGGATTCAGTCGGGCTAGTGAGAACCCTTTGCTGCAGAGATTCTGCTAAACTTATTTGTGCTTTGGAGTGCAGTTTTAATGCTTGTTTTGTTGTTGTTGGTAGGCCTTTGATGGGTTCATTTTTGGGGGGAAAATTGCATAAAAGTCAGGGTGAGTTACACTGTATCTTTCCTTCCTCCTGGTTTCCAAATCAGAGAGACTTGCACAAGTGAATCAGGCAGGGGGGAAAAGTACCAGAATGTTATCTAAAGAAAATGTGAGAATGGATTATTATACCTAATAAAGTGAATCAAATGAAAGCTACCTCTCACAGTATACAGAACTCAACAGATTTGCTGTAATGAAAGGGACCAGTGGGGTTATCACACCTTGTGTGATGGGAAACACTACAGAAGCCTGTTATAATCAAGTGATGATTAGTGTCCATCTTTGATGTTAGAACATTCTTAACGAATACGTTAAAAGATTCCCCCAAAGTTACTGTCAGTTTAGTCTATTTTATTGTATCATTAATGTTTCTTTGGAAGATTAGGAATTTTTTTTTTGCAGCAAATGTCCATGATTAAGAAAATCACTCAGATGGTTTACCCAGTATTAAGAACACTTAAGTAGCTATGCTGGAGGTAGTAATATCCTTACAGACTGCAAGTTGTTGGTCTTTTTCTGTTTTCATTAAGCAGTGCAATGAATCCAAATCATCTTTCTGGTGCTTTAGGTGAGTGTTTTGTGCAATTTGGGAAAATTAAAAACCCCTTAGGTTTTTCTGAGCCATACAGGAATATATATTGTTGAGATTCCATCTTACATTGAAAGAATATAATATATTGGGATTGAGTCTGAGTGTTGAATTCAAGTGTTTTTACTCTTGTATATAATTAATTCTATGTGTACTATATAATCGCTTTCTTTTGTTGGTTTATGACCTTTTTCATATTGAAGATGATCCTGTACTGAAAGGTAGAAATTTGCTAAAGAATGTCAGACTTTGTTTCCATCATGGTATGTGTAAGAAACACAAAAATAGTTGATCTAAAGTTCATCAAACAGAAAGAGTAAAGGTTATGGCCTTCACTCAGAATGAAAGCAATAATGGAATTGCTTATTGGCAACAAGTATCTAATATGTCATATTACCCAAGAGTGTAGTAAAAGTTACGAACAAGTTGCCTGGATCTCTACCATTAGTATCAAACCTGCTTATGAAATGTGCAGTAGCTAATGGTTAAACCCAACAAGAAGTTTATATTGATAGTGATTAATGGAATAAAATCAGCTCTGTGGGGTTTAAGTGGTGGACAGGATTTATGCTGGTCTTCTGCACAGGGTGAATTTCACCCTAACTTATAATACAGCAGTATAGAGCATTGCTAGAGATGAGTCTGAACTGAACTCTCAGATCTGAATGCTTCTGAACTTTGGGGAAGTTTGGTTCAAAGATTGTATTAAACCTGAGCGAACTGAATTAAACCCTGGATCCAAATTCTCCTCTGGAGAGCTCAGATTCAGAATTGAACTTCGTGCATTAGGCCCACCTCAAAACATAATGCCAAATCCTTGATTCCTGAATAGAGATTGACAGAGAGGAATTGTGCATGTGAATAGGGTGAAACTTGGTGCCAAAACCTGAGCTCCTTAGTCATTCCTTCACTTAGTGCTTACCTTGATAAACTCGTGTTTGCCAGGTGGGTAGATGTAGACTAGAAATACTCATTTTGAACATGTGAATTCAGGTGTCGGCGTGCTCAGTGTGCGCACACTACACTTCAATAAGAACACCTATTTCCTTCATGGAAAATATGGCCCAGTCTTTCTTAATAGCACCAAAAATTTGCTGCCACCCCAAGGCTTGGGCACAGGTGACAATGGGCTCAGCATTGGGGGAACGGATAGCTCAGTGCTTTGAGCATTGGCCTGCTAAACCCAGTGTTGTGAGTTCAATCCTTGAGGGGGCCACTTAGGGATCTGGGGCAAAATCAGTACTTGGTCCTGCTAGTGAAGGCAGGGGGCTGGACTCGATGACCTTTCAAGGTCCCTTCCAGCTCTAGGAGATAGGATATCTCCATTAATTATTATTATTCGTGTTGGCTGCAAATAGTAGAAGTTGGCATTTCAGGAGCCTCACCCCTGACTGTTGTTTAGCTCACCTAATGAGCAAACAGTGGGATGGCATTGATTTTAGATGAGGCCGAACACTTTTTTTCATATGGCTCACATGCCTATTGCTTTACATATCAGCACTGCAGAACTATGGGTACATTTAGGCAAGAGGTGGTGCTCTCATTTTAACTTGAGTGCCAATTAACTTGTTAGCTAACACCTTTGCAAATGCTATTCTAGACACTCCACAAATGTTTGTGGTTTGCCTTTGACAAAAAGCGAGTGAAGACACTGCAAGCATAGTATGGCAGTAGGATGCTTCTCTTTTCTCCACCTGTTGGTCTGAAACTGACAAAATAAAAGTTAACAATTATACCATTTATTTCATCTTTCACTTTTTTACAAAAATTAACTCATTGAACCCCACAACTCACCAGTGAGGTGGGTAAGCATGGTATTATCCTGGTTTGAGGAAACTGAGGCAGATAGGTCAAGTGACTTCCACAAGGTGGCACAGCAGGTCATTTGCTAGAGAAATAAGACTACTTTAGGAGTCCTAGACCAGTAATGAATATTTATCTTCCTGGGAAAGAGCCAAAAAGATAGGAGGAGAGAATAAATGATAGAGAGAGATGATGACAGAGTAAACAGTAATACAATTGACTGCAGAAACAGACAGGTAATAGTGATGATCCTGAGTCACATTTTCACTTAACTGTGTTGTGGTGTCCCATGTAATCCTCAATGCACTGTGGAACAAGTTATAAGTGGGTTGTAAATATTTGCTTTGTGAACCATTTGAACATTGTTGCTTGGACAATGTTACTTTGTGATGGATCTTGAATAATTCATTCAGCCAGAAAACATTTGAGAGTTGAACCTGGCACCTAGAAAATGCTAGCATAGCTTTTCTCCCTTCTCTATGCGTTCCCCCCTCCTCCCCGTTTCAGCTACCTAGTTTTACCCAAGCTTGTTTTCTACTATCCATGTGGTTTTAGGGGCGTGAAAAATATTGGTGAGAACTTGCTTATGCTTTTAGCTGCTCAAAGATATTTTGACAACTGTAAATGAAAGAGGGTAACTAGAGAGAAGGGGTTTGTTAAACAGAGCAAGCATTCGGTCTTTCTCTACACAATGTAACAGTGTATTTCGCAGTCATTGTTAAATTGCTTCGACAGAGAAAACTTGCAACTGTATGGATGTCCTGGTAAAAGAATTAAAGGAAAAAAGATTATTGGCTGGAAAGTTGAACTTAATTACTCAAATATGAAATGAGTAGCAACATTTCTGGCTGGAGAATGGATATTATCGGGGCTGGTTAAGTCCTGGAATTTCATAGTTTTATAAAACAGTGCATGTAAAAAACTTGAATGAAAATTTCAAATGAAAGCCAGAAAACTTTGCTAATTATACCTACAATCATGATACTAAAGGGCAGGAAACCTGGACTGGATTCTTGACTGTTGCAGGCTTGTGGAGTGACCTTGGCCAAGTCATTTAACCTCTGAGTTTTCTCCATAGGTTAATAATCATCTACCTCACAAGAGTGCTGCAAGGTAAGGTCATTTTCTGTAAAGCACTTTGAGAACGTGGGATGGAAGGTGCTGTGGCATTTGAGAGAAGAATCATTGATTATAAAAATTGGGGACATAGCAAATAATGAACTAGTATAGTCAGATACCGGGTCAGCTGGGCCAGTGAGTAGAAAATACAATTTAAGGCAGTCTAATCTAGTCTACACTACAACAGTAGGGCAAATTTATGGCTGCATTAAGGAGCAAAGAATGTACTGGATGATGCCCTCTAGTGCATAGTGGGTGAAATTCACTCCTACGTAGAGAAGGCTTTCGTTATCACATAAATCTCACCATTTGCTCTTGAGTGGGATTAGTTTGTGCCCAAGCCCACTGCACAGGGTGATATTCACCCTTTGTGTGTGTATAGTTTGTTCACCTTGTAGGAAGGTTACTGTTGCTCCAGGGAGGGTTCTGTGTATTTATTTAAATATAAATGCCTCAAACACTGGGTATATCATAGCAAAATAAAATCAATATATCATCATGCTCTGCTGGGTGACAGGCCCTGGTCAAACAGGTAATCTTGCTTTGCATCTTGAAGTTGGACAGGCCCAGCATCTGGCAAAATATCAGAATGAGTTCCAGAGGCCCTCTACCCAATACAGATGCTGAAGCTATCATCATTGATCTGACAAGAGTGACCAAGTAAAAGCCTTTGTTCCAATCAGATACTAACAGAGGTCCGTTTATTCTTTTTTAGAACAGATTCATCTGAGAGGATGTAGTCTTCTGGAGGGATATGATGAGGAAGAAGATGATAAAGGTCCTTTTACTGGCAGAGGGCTCAAGACAAAGGGAGCCGGATCTTAAAATTTTTGAAGAGTATAATGGTTGTTCTGGCAGAACTGTGTCAAAGAATAGCTTATGGAATACATTGCTGAGCTTCAGAGAAAGAGGAAACAATTCACAGAGCAGGAAGCATAGGTTCAGATCAAATGTAAAATGTGTGTATAGCCAAATGGATTCTTGCAGTCTGTCACTTCATGTTTTCAAAATTATCCGGTCAAACAATTCTTGATTTTCACCCCCTCCTCCTCTAGTCTGGTTTCCAAATAGTACTTGCTCTGGGTAATAATCTTGGCAGTTTATAATAATACAAGTCAAATGGTTCATATGCACAAACAAAATGCAGTTGTCATGCTCCCACTCGCTGTCCTTAGTTGTTGACTTGTGCTGCATTTTTGTACAATGCCACATATTATCTTTTCCCTTGCCTGGTAATTTGCAGTAGTTGCCATCAATATGTATTTGTTTTGTGTAATGTAATACATGATGATAATGAGAATTGCCTCTGACTTACAATATAAAAATACAGACCAGACAACTACAGAGCAAATCTGAAACGGTGCTGGCACCAAAATTACAAATGAGATGAAACCCTAACCAGAAGTGGCAGCCCAGACATCATGCATTTATTCACTATAGATTGGAGGTTCTCAAACTGGGGGTCGGGAACTGTCAGCCTCCACCCCAAACCCCGCTTTGCCTCCAGCATTTATAATGGTGTTAAATATATAAAAGTGGGAGGGGGAGGGTCGCACTCAGAGGCTTGCTGTGTGAAAGGGGTCACCAGTACAAAAGTCTGAGAACCCCTGCTGTAGATCATTCTTTGTGTTCCTTTGCTGAGTATATATTCACTGTATTTTAATATTTTCCAAGGAGAGAGAACTCTGTAATAATGGAAAGTTCCATCAAGAGTGCCTCCAGCTCCCTCACAAACCACTGCAGTGTGCTGAGATGGCAATCTTTACCGAATAAGAACCCAATTCTGCTCTGACTGAGGTAAATTAGGAATATGACTTCTTGAACATCAATAGTCCCATGATATTCACCAAAAACATACACATTCCTAATTCACACTGATTTTTTCCTTGAGCTCAGTTAAATCTAACATTCAGCCTCTCTCATTAATGAGTTTTGACTGTTAAGCTGCTTAAGTTGGTGGATCTGTCTTTTTCTCTCCCCCGATGTTGGCGATCATTTCACATGTATCACAGTGTATAATGAGTAAAAATTAAAAAAGGACTAGCTGCATGGTTAATACAATAAGACAGTTAAAAACAAACTAAGGAATTAGTACACCAGATCTGTGATTTTAATAAATGAATATAAATGTTGAAGCACATATAAAGCAAAAGATGAAAACAAAATCATGTTATATTACAGCCCCCATAAAGCTAGTATCACTGAATACATCAAATACTTTTTTACAAGCCCATCATTTATACATTAGGTCAGCGTACAAAAACAGTGGATAACACAAGAGGATTTTCCTCCCAAGACAACTAAGAATTAAAAGAGAGGTCACAGTAAATAATTACAATCTGAGCATTTCCTATACTTTCGAAGTCTGTTGCTCATTATAACACAACTTTAAATTAGAACAAGCAACGACTGAGCTGATATTTTTCCAGACCCTCTGTGCACTGCTTGTATTGTGTTAGACTCTTGAACAAAAGTGACAGTGGGGTGGGGTTTACGCGTTGAGATATGGAATAAAAGGATTTGTTTTTGTTAAAAAAACCCAATTAAATAGCTATGATTCTAGCAAATCTATGTACATTTATTATTTGAGGATTTCTGCTGGGCATTCCTTGGTGAACAAACTTTGTTTGCAGTATTAAAACCACCATTTTGCCCAATTTATCAATGAGCTCAATGTAATAAATATTCTATATACTGCTTCACACATTGGGAAAGGAAATCCTATGTCCTGATGCTGTATTCTTTACACCCCTGTAACTTCCTTTGGCTATGTAAGAAATGTAGGCCCTATGCAGATAGCACATGAGAAAGTGTGAATGTAAAAATGTGTACTTACTGAGCAGTAATGCAAACAGGAGATACAAATGGCTTTACTAATACAGCCTTTGGCATTTCAATCAAGTCTCGCCCTTGAGTTATTATTTAAGGTGTTTTTCATAGGTTCCACCATACCATACAAACCTAGTTCAAGTTTACTAGGCTAGCAGATAATGTTAAAGTTTGGGGTGTAAAAGTTACTGGATAACAATCCAAGATGTGGTAGAAAACAAAATAATTTTGCCATTAAATCGAGAAATAAAAATTCTGATAATGTAATTTACAAATTTAGTCTTTTGAAAAAACACTATTTGTAAGCACAAATTTTAAATGGGGATTGGACAGATCTGATCATCCATTTTAAAATGGATTAAAAAATTTGGAATTTGCCCTGTTAAATTCTATAGAGATGAAAAAGGAAACACTACTAATAGCTACCACTAACACCTCAAAGAAACTTTGTCTTGCATTGGGAAAAATCTTGAGTATCTTTGTAGGGCCTTGATTCTATCATACTTACTCCACTAGTAGTGATAATGATTCTGCCACAAGCATAGCAGACTCAGGTCCTATATGATTATATAACACTGGCTTCATTAGGATTATTTTTACTTAAAAAAAATACAAAACTCATGTTGTGTGTGTGATTGATATGGTTCAGTTATCAAAAATCTTGGTAGAAGGAAGAAAAAATGGCAAAGAGCTGTTGCCATTGAAAGGAGACAATCTCTCCTTACATTCTAGAGGGTCTATTTTTATTTTACTCCCCCAGAACTCCCACCTTCCATAACACAGATCCAAAATTCCAGAGTAAGGGAGAATTTGTTCCCTGGAGGCCACAAAATAGATATTTTGTTCCCATCCCACCTCTTTTTAAACAATAGAGATTATTAACTAATGTACTTTTCACCCATGGGTCTAAGAATATGCCTCCCTGAGGAATTTATAACGTGTTATGCCAGAATGTCAGCCCTCAGTCTACACAAAGAACAACTGTTTTCTCTACATTCCAGTATTTAGTGGTGTGGGCAGTTCAGATATATGCTCCTAGTGGTGCATGGGATGGCAGTAGTTGAGGAGAGACCACAAGAAAGGCAGCAGCAGAATAGCTCTTAAACACACAAAGCTGCACACTTGTTACAAAATTAATTCAAGCAATATAAACACAGCCCACAAAATACATTGTATTTCCTCCTGTAATTCACTCTAGGAAGCATCTTCTGCAATATCTTATGCAGCAAATCTGAAAAACGGCCTGAGATCTTTTGGGCTTTTTTTAAATGCTTTCAGGGTGCACTCATTCTTTTTCTACCATTCTATATAATTCAGCAGTTAATTTCTTTTGGTTTTAAGTACAAATGAGAGTATCAGACATCTAGTATTTCCTCTTATTTATACACAAATATATGGAGCACAAACCTTTCCTGACACCCAAACTATTTAAGATGACTGTATGACGCTGATTTTAGGCTTCACGAAACACTAATTGAAACAAAAGGCCGGGGAAGTGGAGTGGATTCCTAAAATATGTTTTTATTCATCAGCATTATTGTTTCTGGGAACAACAACAAAATGCTTTGGCACTAGAAGTCTGTGTTGCTAGTTCAAAAATTATCACTGACTTAGGAACTGGTATCTTGGCCAATGTGCTTACAGCTTAACTATGTAAGGCAGCACTTTAAAACATTAAAAACACTTGTTTAAAAAAGCAGTTTTATTCATGGCTTAAAAATTGTTTGGACTCATGCAGGAAGCTTTGTTTTGCTCTGCAGGCACTGTTTGCTGTTGAGATTTTCCACTCCAATCATTCCTGCCCTTAATCTGACAGAGCACTGAAGATCAACCAAGATACAAGAGAGAAGGTACTTCATTGTCTTGTACATGACTACATACCCCTCAAGTTAAATAGATTCACAATGATTGGTAAATACAGGAATCTACAATTAGCACCCAACTTAGATCACTACCACCACCACTGAAAATTGATTGCATTTTTATTGCTACACAAAAAATACCTGCTTTATTTTTTCTGCATGCAGATTCTAATACTATTTTACATTGATCCCCGATCTATAAAGAGAATTAATATACTGGTTTGTAGAGAACTCAATGCTGTAATTACACATTAATAGCAAGAGTTGAAGCTAGCCAACCCCATTCAAGAATCCGTTTCAAATCACCATCAATATCAGGAGTGACTCATGCCTGTTGCAATGATGGAAAAGCTAAGGGATTCTAAGAAAAGAATTCCCCCCTCATCAAGACAATGACTGCTCACTGTACAAACAACATTGTAATGTTTTGCCCTTAAATAGAGCCTTTTCATAGATGGGAAAATATTATAATCCCTCATTTACAGATGGAGGAACAGAGATGTTAAATGACTCACCTAATATCACCCAGAAAGTCAATGGTAGGTCCAGGAATAGAACCTGACTCCCAGTCCAGTGTCTGACACACTAGGCCATATTGCTAATGGAAATTAATGCAAGCTCTTACTGTACATGTAACATATCGCTTATAAGTATGTTTGATATCAAATCACAAATTTTTGAGTGGTTTTATTATGGTCTGAACTTCTCAAGCGTTCTGCACAACAAAATGGGATTACAGCTGTTTAGTTTATTAGATAATTTAACATGTCTGCTAGTAATAACCTGCTGTTGGGAGCATCACAAATTTTCATTGGGGGCAGTTTCTTATAATCCTCTTCCCTTAAAGTGAGTATTTTGTACTACATGGCACACAGGGATGAACTTCACTTCTTCAGCTACCCCCCAGTGTGATATTTTCTTAAAGCAAAGTACCCACTCTAGCTTACTGTAGCAAAAAACAGATCAAACGCAAATCAAGACATACTGATCTGTTACATTCATACAGCAACAGACTATGCAAACTTTAAGTTTAAGCTCAGAAACAACAGGTCAAGGAACCAAAGCTTTAAGGAAATATCAGCACCCTTATAAAACTGTATAGTAATCCTAGAATGGGCAGGAGTATACACTACTTTCTACATCTCTCAGCACCTCTGTTTCCTGCATGAGTGGGATGTTTTCTTATGCTAAATTTCATAATTGTTAACACTCAGAGGTCACAGAAGTTCTGGTATTCAATCCACAGATGTTTGAAGGTACAATTGTGATTTATTCCTCCCTCCCTTGCAATCAGGATCAAATAGCTTGACCATAGCAAGTTCACGTTTCAGGAGAATTTCTGACATGTTATCCCAACAGCAACCACATTCTCATGTCTTACAAAGCTGTGCTGATTTTACAATACAGGCTGGTGTGGCGGACTCCAACAAAAGAATCATTCATAGAGAAGGAAAAAGACCCATTTTCAAGTTCATCCCCCGTACTAGTGCAGAATTGTCATAAGATTGTCTGGTGCGTCTGTGCCTGTTAGTTTTGAGAAACATTTGAGATAAAATGGTCCCGAAAGAAAAACAAAAGCAGCCTGAAGCTTCCCCCTAAATTGTTCAATATACAGATAATACACCACTTATAAAATGTTCACAAGTCTCTCAGGAATGTCTCCAGAGCCACACCCTGATTTATAAATACTCTTGATTTCCAGACACTGGAAGAGTGGTTCTGCCTAGAAACTGATAAATGTGCTCTGTCGCAAGCTCATAACATTTTCTAGTGCTATGCTATTGTATTTCTTATTGAAGCCAAACATCGTATCAGACATATGTAATACCTTTCTGCTAGCTAAATCAACTCTTGCTCTCTGGTGGTTACCTAGTTCACCTTTCTTTTCTCCCACCCTTTCCTTTTTAATTTGTATTTTATGTTGCTGTAGCTGTTTTATTCCTCAGAGCTCACCTTGCCCGAGCCCCTCCTGGGAACTTGTTTTTCACCTCCAAAGAATCTGCCCAGCGAGTCAAGTAGACCCGAGTCTCTGTGCCTTGGAGATCCATGTCTAGCATGGTCTATGGTGCTTGCAGTTGCCATTTTTGATCCGTGCCGGAAAGAGGAGCGTTTCTGTGAAGCCATCAAATCCGAGTTCTCTGAAGTTGCAGCACTGTCCTCTTGAATGGTCTGTAGCTCGTCTGACTCTGAGGGCCGATCTTTGAAGGTGTTGTCCTCCCTTCCTGGGGCATCTCGGGAAAAGAGGCGGATCAAGTGGGGGCGACCAACTGTGTCAGCTGGGTTGGCCTCCTTCCAGGCATTCTTTGAGTCTGCTGTGCCCTTGGAGTCTGTCACCGCTGTGCTCTTAGTGGAGGTCCCATTGTTCTGGTTCACATCTGCCTCTCCTACAAACAACAAGAATGAGATATGAATACAGGCCTATGAAAAACAGAGCACTGGAACAATGCTGCTTTCTTTCACTTGCCTTGAGTTAGTTGTTTCATGCAAAATCCATAGAATATGTTCTCTCTCTCCAAATGCTTTTCAGAGAATTAATCTTTCTCACATTTAACTGGCACTGGGACTACATGACTTCTTTTAGGTTTTAAAATTAGAATGGTGGTCAGGATTAAAAGTGTTTGGAAATAGGTTAATAAAAATAGCTGAAGTGTGTTGTAAATGATTGCAATTATAGCCTATCAATTCACCTCAATGTTTATGTTGTAGGTGATAACTCTGCTTTATTATCAATGTCTCTAGTTGCCATCTCTGTACTTGCTGTAAGAGGTGAGAATTCTTTATATTGACCACTGTACATGACCATAAAAAGGCTTGGGCTGTATTTCCACTTCAACCCCTCTTTGCAGGATGTTACAATTTTTCTAACTCTAAGCTCAATGTTGTACAGGATGGAGCTCCCACTGGTCTATTAGAATTCTTTGAGCTACATTACTTTTTTTTTTTTAAATCTCTCTGCCTGATTTGTTCCCCAGTTTCTTCCAAATGTAAAAAGCACAAATTGAAGAGGGGATGGGGGAATGCAAACAGGTTTTCACTTCAGATAATCATATTGTCATCCACATAGTATAACTAATACAAGAGATAAGACTTACAGGTCTGCTTGTAAGAAACATCTTAACCTCCTTTTTCCTCTTACACACCCTCAGTGAAGGGCCCAGCCTGTTTAGTAACATGACAAACATTACACTCATGCCAACTTTTCTAAGTTGGGTTACATTCTAGTGGGCTCCAGTATGCTATTTGGAAGTCAGAGGGAATGTCTACACTGCAGCTGGGAGATACGATTTTCAGCATGGGCAGGGTCACACTTGCTCAGCTTAAAGTTAGAGCCCTGATGGCACCTCGGGCTGGTTACCTGAGCTAAGCCATCCTGGCTGACCTTCCTGGGTCCAAGCTCCAGCAGTGCCATCATGTCCACACTGCTATTTTTAGTGCACTGGCTCAAGTCTGTCTACCCAGGCTGGGACACTCAGCAGCTCCCACTTCCATTGAAAAAGTATGAGTTGGTGTAGACTATGTACTGCAAAATCAAGCTAATTTCCAATGAAGAGTAGTAAATTAGTAACTGGGGAGAGTTCTTCAGCAGTCAGTCACAGTTGGCTTTTTTTTAATATAAAAATGCATGAAATAAATGAGTCTCCTGATTGATTGCAAAGAAACCTTATTAGAAGTGATTATTCATCTGGGATCAGGATGAGGAAATAGACTCAAGTCATTGACAAAACTTCCACTGACTTCAGTAGGATCAGGAATAACTGGGCAGAGGGTGTTTTTGATGTCTTGATTACCTCGTGAAATTCCACAATTTGATTTGGTAGTTGTTGCTCTGAGAAGGGATCTGGATCTGACTATGCCATGATGTGTGCTTTTTTTAAGTGCTTGCCCTATGCTGATTCAATCCAGCACTTTAGTTTTTTACATGGCACTAAACTGCTGAAAAGAAGAGCATTCTGGGGTTATCTTTCTTTTAATAAAACTACTTTAATAGGGGTGGATTCAGAACAAGGCACAACTGATCATATTGCAAACGCTGGGCAATAAAATTCATCTGCTTGGAGTAATTTTATCTGAATGACAGAATTAATCTGCAAATACAGACCTACAACAAATTATAACCTGACCAGTATAAATTAGTAAACGAGCTACAGTTTAACTTCCTGGAGAAGGCTAATGTGTAAGGCATGCAATTTTGGCTATTACCTGAATTGAAAATATATCAACTAGCTAGAAAGGAAGTTCAGTTCTTCCCTCCGATTAAAAACAATTAAGAATTGTCTTCAGGGATAAAATTATATTTAAGCAGCAGCAATTATCAATTAAGGCTTTCTGAACTGAAAAAAGAAACCTGTTTATTTAAAATATTGCAGCTATGTTCTTTTGCTTTCTGTAATGTATTTAATTTAATTTATTTTTATGCTGAATATTCCCAGGGTACTTACACATTGGTGCCTTGAAGGATCAAAACTTTACCAGATTTTGTTAGTTTATCACCATAGCTTTCTTGATGGAATGAAGCAAAGATGCAGTGGTTTTGGGAGCAACAGAAACAACTAATTTTAATTATTTAACACTGGTTTAGATTCTATACCATCATACAAATTCAATTAAGGAGAAAAACAATAGTGATATTGTATTTAATTAAATGCATTAACAAAACAGCAGAGCATCTGCATACTAATACTTTTATAACAGTTGTGCTTTGTGTCACTGAATACAGTTATTTGTAAAAAACAAAGAAGGGCATTTGTGCCACAAAAGTAGTTTCTCTCAACACATAAGCAGTGAGCTATAAAGTGTAAATCTTTTCTGTATGCTTTTAGTTTAGCAATGAAAGCATGCATTTAATTTTTCCTTTACATTTTTACTGTGTTAAACCCCCATTTAATGTTCAGCAAAAATGTACAATGGAAAATATAGGGTCTATATTTCAGCAATATTAATCAACAGTAGCCATGAATTCCTTTTCCAAAGTCTGTGTATATGATAATATATATTAATGACATAGAGCTACTTACTAGGTATGATCTATGCAATTACTAATAAAACATCTGCTAAACTGCATTTCAATATTGGTTTATTAGATCATTATAAGAAAGCTACAAGTTAAAAATTAAAGAAAAATATTCTATCATGAATTCAGCTGACTAACACTGATTTTCCTTTTTTTCCTTCAGGTGAGGGAAATGGTATGTGCCACTTACAGTAGTGAAAGAGAGCTGTTTTTCCTTGCTGCAGTAACTTAAGATATATTGTATAGGAAAAAAAGGAGCTTTATAAGACAAAAAAAAAAAAATAACTAATTTTGGCTATAACTATGGCATGGAGCACTCCATAGACTTTATCCCAAGAATACTACAATACCTACTTTAAAGAAAATATTGGGCCAGACTGTGACAATGTGGCTGTGCAAGGGAGATGGGCGTATGGAGCCCTCTGCATCGCCCTGGTGGGCAACCACCCCAAAAGCAGTAGGAAGGAGGTGGAACTATCGTCCTGCACTTCTCAGCAAGGGCCAGTGGAGCTGGCCAGCGACTGTAGGAAATGCATTCTGAACATTCCTGAAAGGGTGTGCACCAATTGTGTCGACTCCCAAAATAAGGGGGAGAGAGCTGTAGGAATTCCAGTATGTACAGAAATGGAGGCAATTCCTGGAGCAATCCTGACTTGTAAAAATACAGCATTCAGGTACCCTCTATCTACAAACAAGCAGTACTGCCCCATCTTACCTTAAAGAGCTGAACTTGCTCATTCAATTTAGTTTCTTGTTTAACAACATTGAAAAGGAAAAAGTAGATTTGGAATAGACAAACAAATTTAAGCTGAGATTTTCGAAAACTCTGTTGGCCTAATGCAGGAATTCTCAAACTGGAGGTCGGGACCCTGCTTTGCATCCAGCATTTATAATGCTGTCACTAAAAATATCCATGACAAAATCTTAGCCTTAATCATGGGTAACTGATCATGAAATATTAATTACACTCAAAACAGGCATTGATCTGACATCTCCATTTCATTCCTAAGGAAGAGAATGATTGTTAGAATCCAAATGTTTTCCTATTGTATGGCTGAGCCTGCGATTTAAGGGCTTGTCTGCACTGAAATGCTACAACTGCATGTGCACCACTGCAGCACTTCAATGTAGACACTACCTACACTTTTCAGAGTAGCAGCCGTGTTAGTCTGTATCCACAAAAAGAACAGGAGTACGTGTGGCACCTTAGAGACTAACACATTTATTTGAGCATAAGCTTTCATGGGCTACAGCCCACTTCATCGGATGCATAGAATGGAACACACAGAAAGAAGATATTTATACATCCAGAGAACGTGAAAAAGTGGAAGTAGCCATACCAACTGTAAGAGGCCAATCAATTGAGATGAGCTATCAACAGCAGGAGGAAAAAAAACCCTTTGAAGTGATAATCGAGATGACCCATAGAAGGTGTGAGGATACTTAACATGGGGAAATAGATTCAATTAGTGTAATGACTCAACCATTCCCAGTCTCTGTTTAGACCCACGTTAATTGTATCTAATTTGCATATTAATTCAAGTTCAGCAGTCTCTCTTTGGAGTCTGTTTTTGAAGTTTTTTTGTTGCAAAATTGCCACCTTCAAGTCTGTCACTGAGTGGTTAGAGAGGTTGAAGTGTTATCCCACTGGTTTTTGAATGTTATGTTATGATTCCTGATGTCAGATTTGTGTCCATTTATTCTTTTGCATAGAGACTGTCCGGTTTGGCCAATGTATATGGCAGAGGGGCATTGCTGGCATATGATGGCATATATCACGTTGGTAGGATGTGCCCCTGATGGCGTGGCTGATGTGGTTAGGTCCTATGATAGTGTCACTTGAATAGATATGTGGACAGAGTTGGCATCAGGCTTTGTTACAAGGATAGGTTCCTAGGTTAGTGTTTATGTTGTATGGTATGCGGTTGCTGGTGAGTATTTGCTTCAGGTTGGGGGGGCGTGTCTGTAAGCAAGGACT